ACATTATTTGTATTTTTAAGGTAAACTCATACTAAGTCTGAACCATAGTCAAGTTCTTCACCCAGAAGTTTGACATATATCCTTACATTGTACCCAGTAGGTGGGAACTTACCAAGCCCACCCCCCTTAGTGAGGATTATTGTAAGACACAGAACAGAGGGGACAGGGTGTATTATATATCTATCAGATGTTTTGGGGTGCAGGTAAAGTAGGTCAAGGACTGTTGCATTAGGGGAAGCATGTAGAGTAAGGAAGAGCGGAGACCTTGGATAGACTCCAGCTGAATCTGGCTTGTGCTGCTGCAGATTGTGACCTCAGATAGGGTTGGTCTTTTCGGGGCGTATTTCCCAGTCTTCACATGGAAGATGAGGGCAGTGTGCCTTGTATGGCTGAGGGCTTTAAAGGGCACAATTCTGTAAAGTATCTAGAACACCGTTCTATTTTTATGCGGACCCATATTAAGTGCTAGCACCCTTTCCCTTCTACTTCCCCCAATAGAAAATTTCTGAAGTAAAGAGAAAGCAGTCACCCGTGGGTCTACCTGATGTTCAACCAAATATTGTAATTTTTGGTTCTTTCTGTTCTTTTTGAATAGCCCTATTCATGACATTATAAAAATTACATTTGATATTATAAAAATATTATATTTTCCTATTATTAGTGTGGTATCATAAGCAATCTTTGCTATTTCCTAGCCACCCGACCCATGTCTTGGTGGTGGCATAAAAGTCTGTCAGATAAATATGACCCGACTTATTTGACTTTTCTATCAATGGGCAGTTAGATCTGTTCTAGGTTTTTACACTTTAAGTGAATATCTGACTGCATAAATATTTTGGGTTATTCTTCTTAGAAAAATTGTTATATCTGCGGACTATTATATTTAGGAAATGGTTGCTTTACTGCTAAAAATCAGTATTTACTGATGTGGGATGAACTCCAAGTTCTGTTGATAAGTGAAAAAAGGAGTCAGAATACTTATGGATGTGCTTTCAGTACATGGACAGTCTCCCAGAAGGTAGAGAGAAACTGGCTCAGAGCTGTTTCTGCAGAAAAAGAGAACTGGAGGGGTTAGGCAGGCCAGGGTGAGAGGAAGCATTTCTTAACATGATGTATGTATACTCTCTTTTGCTATCTGAATTTTTGATCATGTACATGTCTTACCAATTTTAAGTAGAATACAGCTTTGTTTTGTTTTGTGACAGGGTCTTGCTCTGTTGCCCAGTGTAGAGTCTGATGGTATCATCATGGCTCACTGCAGCCTCCAACTTCTGGGTTCAAGCAATCCTTCTGTCTCAGCCTCCTGAGTAGCTGGGATTACAGGTGTATACCATCATGCCTGGCTAATTTTTCTTAATTTTTGTTATTGATGGGGTCTCACTGTATTGTTCAGGCTGGTCCTGAACTCCTGGCCTCAAACAATCCTCCTTTCTTAACCTCCCAAAGTGCTAGCATTACCTGCATGAGCCACTGCAGCTGGGCAGAATATAATTTTTTTTTTAATTTTGATATAATTTCCTATTTTCAGAAAAAGTCCAAGAATAGTACAGAGCATTTATGACTACCCTTCACTCAGATTCCCTGATATCAACATTTTAAAAATAGACTTTTTAAAATTTTGAGTCTCGAGCTGTTGCTCTGGGTAGAATGCCATGGTGTCATAGCTGACAGCAACCTCAAACTCTTGGACTCAAGAGATCCTCTTGCCTCAGGTTTTCTATTTTCAGTAGAAACAGGGTCTTGCTTTTGCTCAGGCTGGTCTTGAACCTGAGGGCTCAAGCAGTCCACCTGCCTCTGCCTTCCAGAGTGCTAGGATTACAGGTGTGAGCCACTGTGTCTGGTCAGATTTTTTTAAATAATAAAAAATACTTTATTTTTAAAAGCATGAAACAACGTGTATTGTAGAAGGATAAAATAGGTTTACAGAGCAAGAGTAAGAAACAGTCACCAGACCACAAATAGGCCCCTTGTCATTACCAAAATGCCAAAAAGAAAAAGAAAGAAAAAGAAAAGAAAAGAAAAAAGATTCATGTGTTGAAAAAGAGTGGGTTTCAGCAAAGATGGGCAAGGTAGGAACCGTTATGCCCATTTTGTATGTGAGGACATAGAGACTCAGAGAAATTTTAAAAACTTCCTCTCCAGCAAGTTAGTAGCAGCATTGGACCAACATAAGCTACTATTGACACAGTGATCTATTTTATACCCATTTGGTTTTGAAGTGACAAACTTGACAGAATCGGATTGCATTGAACAACTTTGCTGAGATTCATCATTACCTCAGACTGTTCTTGGATTTCTTTCTTTCTTTCTTTCTTTTTTTCTTTGAGCTGGAGCCTCAAACTATTGCCCTGGGTAAAGTGCCGTGGCATCACAGCTCACAGCAACCTCCAACTCCTGGGCTCAAGTGATTCTCTTGCCTCAGCCTCCCAAGTAGCTGGGACTACAGGTGCCTGCCACAACACCCCGGCTATTTTTTGGTTGCAGCCGTCATTGTTGTTTGGCGGGCCCAGGCTGGATTTGAACCTGCCAGCTCAGATGTGTGTGGCTGGCACCTTAGCCACTTGAGCCATAGGTGCCAAGCCTGTTCTTGAATTTCTGAAAATTCTGAGTTACCAGTGGGTTGGTCAGAATAGTAGATGAGAGAGGAAGCGCAATTTCTGTGTTACCCTCAATTCTTTCTGAGATAAAATGTCTATTGGAAGAGAGGGAAGGAAGATGTATAAAATTGTATTTTGAAAACTTATGGTACTTAAAAATTGTACCTCACCTTCTCCATTAGGGGGCACCATTTCCCTACATTGTCTGATCTCTAAGGTCAGAAATGGTCCATTTGTTTGAATTGTCATTATCTTAAAAAAAAATAATAATTATAGTAGTGGTACATAGCTAATCCAGTGTTTTAAGAAAAATGTCCATAGAGAAAAAGAAACTGTAAGCTTCCTCTTTTCATAGATTAAAACTACTCATAGATTTTATAGGTTATAGGTACTAGTATGAATTGTAACAACTAGTGTATATCCTTCCAGAGTTTTTCCCAATCTGTATACTTAAAAAATAAATTTCCTTATTGAACTATAGCATAATATAGAGGAGTACACAGACCTTAAGTGTGAAGCTTGATGAATTTGCACAAAATAAGAAGAGCCACGCCACCTCTATCCAGATCAAGAAATAAAATATTACTAAAACATCTTCAGAAGGCCTTCTCTTGCCTCTTCACTGTCACTACTTCCCCCAAAGATAGCCACTATCCTGGCTTCCAGTGTGAGAGAATAGTTTCACCTGTTTTTAAACTGTGTAACTGGAATTATTCAGTATATTTTCTTGTGTCTGCCTTTTTTAGTGCACCATTGTGTTACTAGTATTTATCCATGTTATGTGTTACAATAGTTCATTTTTTTGTTCTGTATTTTGTTGTATGAATTTGACACAATCCTATATACTAAGGGTCATCAGACTTTCCATAAAAGTCTAGAGATTAAACATTGTAGGCTTTGGGGGCCATACATTGTCTGTCCCTACTACCCAACTCTGCCACCGTAGCTCAAAAGATGATGTGTAAGTGAATGGACGTGACTGTGTCCCTTAAACAAGAAAACTTTGTTTATAATATATAAGTGTGGGACTGGATTTGGCAATAGTTGCCAACTACTGCTTTACTTTAAAAGAAAAAAGTAAGGGCTCGGCGCCTATAGCTCAACCGGCTAAGGCGCCAGCCACATAC